AGGTAACAGTAACGTGAGACAGGTCCTTCCCAAACGCACGGGTGGAAGAAAAGAGCCTAGGGTTACTATAAAGGGGGGGGGGGGGAGCAATGGATCGATGATATTACGAATGGATATCATGTCAAAGCAGAAATATGAACTTTGTATTGTTGAAGATATTTGTGTTGAAATTTTCATATTGCAGAAAAACACTTTTTTACTTCGAAATGTTTACGTAATTGTCGTAAATAAATGTACCTCACATTATTGTAGCCATGAAACTAACTGAAATTTTTCTCTACGAATTAGAAATTATATATACTTAGCACAGATATTGACTAACAGGAACAACTGGTAATCCAAGCTGATTTTTTTTCTTGAAAGGATAAACGAAATTTTTCATTTTTTGAAACGTATTCAACTCTTGGTAGAATTGAACTCCTATCGTATTTTGTAATGAGTCAGCAAAGATATTATCAAGACGTAATAAACATAGAAATTTTCCTGTAACACATTCGAATATTACAATGTCGTACGCATTATTAATAATCCTATATATAGTTGCGGATTGATCGAATAAAGAGTTGTGTGTATATATATGGAATACAACTTTGTAGAACAGCAATAAACAAGATTTAGCGCATCGCCAAACAAAACAAATAACATTTTAGTTCGTCGCTACGTCATAGACAAGCTATTCTGAAATCATACTAGTGCCGTTCAGCAAGGAATACCAAAACTAGAAAATCCTAAGCAGTTACATCCTATGCGACTTTTTTCCCCAGCTGGTGAAAGCTTTACTGTATTGTTTGCTTATTGTTTCTAGCATGTCTAGTATAAAGGAATTTTATTACTGAAACTTGCTTAACGTATAGATGTAATCATCTTCAGCATGTTCTTATAGTTGTAGCTACATTAGATGCCTCAATCTCATCATTAATGTTCCGTAAATCTGACTACTGCTATGAGGATGATGTTCAATACAGATACCTTTTGACAAAAAACCCTTATTCGAAATACTGTTTGATCTATTACTGGAAACATTCCAAGCCAAGCACGCTTGGTTGGAATTTTTCAACGATAAACAATAAATAGGAAATTCAGATAAACTAGCATGATCAGAGAAAACAGTTTCATAAGATGTCATAGTTTAGGATTTTTCTTGCTTAAATCTTATATACTAAATGATAGAAGCTTCATATTCGAAAGTTCGATATCATTTCAGACAGAGCTCCTTTTGAATAATAGGTCAGTCGAAGTTCTAAAGAGTAAGGAATACTCCGCATAATTTTTACAACATCAAAGAGCAGTTTTTATTAGCATCCTATAGAGAAACCCACTGATGCAAGCTACATCAACAAAATTCAATGTATTCTTTCGTTCATCTTTAAAGAATCTATAGTCTTCATATTTTTAATTTATCAGTTTTCTTTTTTATTATGAAGAAGTCATTCATTAAAATAACCGCTATCGATGCAAAATAACACTCAATTTTGAATTGTTCGATTTTATATATACAGAAAGAGTCAACGGGACTATTAATATTAGTATTAGCCTAGCAGTGCACTTTAATGTTTATTTTAACATTATAGATTGAATAACGACTATAAGACAAAATGAGCACTGAAAAAATGGCTTCAGTTAACATTCGTTGTATTCCGGATAATCCATATACGGTTATTGGTGTAG